TGGAATGCTGCTCTCTTCTCCCCCTCTGGATTCTTTCTCTGTCTTCTCTGCCAGCTCCTGTGCCGCCTTCTTTTGAGACTCATAGACATATCTTCTCTCCCAATTTCATTTATGCCCCTGGCATCAACTACATCTACATGGTACCAATTGGCAAAGATACACCCTTGGCCTAGCTCCTGAACTTCAGACTCACCAACAGGGCTGTCTGCTTGACATCACCTGGAAGTGCTGCAGAAACTTCAAAGTCAGTGAACTCAAAGTGGAACTTATCAATTCCCCCACACCTGTTTCACTTCCCATATTCACAGGCTTGGTTACTAACACCACCGTCTACCCAGTTGCCCTTGGTGGAGACTGGGGGTTAGCCCAGATCCCTCATCCTTTTTCTCTGTCACAGACTCACCTAAAATCAATCACCAAGTCGCATCAATTTTACTTTCTATTGCTCACATTTATTGTCCTCTTCTCTCTCTCCTCTGCCTCTGCCCAGTTCAGTCTCTCATCATCCAGCATCAGCTCTATGACAACAGTCTTTTTGTTATTCTTGGATTAACCCTGCTAATTCATGGGCCAATTCTATCCTGCCTACATCTGCCAAAGGAATTGGATGAACATTCAAAGCTGGCCCTGTCACTTCCTTGTTCAAAATTCTTCCAGGGTTTCACTTCACTCATGACAGCATTTCCCAAAGTCAGGTCCATGAGAGATTACAAGTCACATGAGATGGTCCCTGCAGAGGAGGTTCTGTGGGAAACGCTGTATTAGGGCCACATTTGAGATATTCACAATGCATGTCAGCACATCAAATGTTCTGATAACTTTTCCAGTTTAAAGAACTGTATGTTTAACCTTGCATTTCCCAACTGATCTGACCTGGAACCATTTTCCCACATTATATCTATATACGCCATGAAGAACTGTGTTCTTTAAAACACATTTGGGCAAATCCTGGCCTAGAGAATAAAATCTTCATTCTTGTGCACAGCCAATGAGGGCCTTCTTGGTTCAGCCCCCATTCACCTGTCCACACTCCTTTACTGTTATTCCTTCCCCTGTATTCCTCTGGTAATACTCATCTACTGTAATTATCGTTGTCCAGATCTTGACTCTGCAATGCTGTTTCCTCTGTCTAGAATACCCC